GCAGGAGTACTAGTAGTAGTAGTCGTGGCGGTGGTGGTGGTGGTGGTGGTGGTGGTGGTGGTAGCAGCAGTAGTTGTAGTAGTGGTAGTGTTAGTCGCAAGCAGTAGAAATAGCCGTAGTAAGGGGTTCAGGCGTTTAGAGTTTGGGATATCAGGCTTTTGGGTTTGGACCCCCCCCCCCTCCCCCAACTCTTTCCTCCTCAACCTTGATAAGCCCATACATACATCCACCGCCCCACTGTGGTTCGTGATGGGTTAAAAGGTCCTATAGGGTCAGGTGATAGGGTTTTGGGTTCATGCCGCGCCGTGTGGTTCATGATGAGTTTAGGGTTCAACAAGTTTGGGGTTGGATTTGGAGTTTAGGGCTTAGGGGAAGTGGTATACATCTTAAATGTGTACCGGCGCTTAAAATTACATTTTGGGTCCGACCGCTCGAGGGGTCCATGGACCATGGCTGGGCTCAAGAACGGGCGCGGAGCATGGCAAGAGTGTGGTAGGGTGAGGTGGCAGGGATGGTGATCGTGATTGATTTTGTCGTGTTGGTCATGGGAAGTGCTGGTGGGATAGACTACAAATTTTTGGGACAATTCGAACCTTGTTTGTGGCCTTTGCATTTTTACCGGTAAAGGTGCAGAATTGGGGCGGCCAGCAGAATTTGGGGTCAACGTTGAGGGTCAGTGTTATCTGGAAACAATGTGACCAGGAACTTTAGGCAGATCACTGATTGACTGAATCAGTGTTTGCTGTTGTTCGCATGAGGCTCCAATGGCTTGAACATGGAAGGTTGGCTTGTGCTTGCACGCAGTATATGTCGGTCGGTCGGCTGATCGATCCTGCATTAAAAGCAGTCGCTTGCAAGCGTTGAAGATTGGCTTGTGCTTGCACATATGGTCGCTTGAACATGCAAGATTGGCTTGTGCTTGCATGCAGTCGGTCGAGCTTGTATGTTGGTCGGTCGGTTGCCCTAGCAACAAAAGATGAGTCATGGCTCGTACTTGAATAGCATGTTTTACTAACTAAAAAAGCTTGCTATTCAAGTGCAAAACTGTTCTTGCTGTTGTCCTGGCTTCCAGGGACGATAATTAAAGCTATATATTGCTTTAATCATAACAGGGCCCCTCATTGCTTTAATTTCCGACCGTTGCTTTAATTTTGGTCCATTGCTTTAATTTTGGTCCATTGCTTTTCTTCAAAACCGGTTGCTTTAATTTAAAGCCGCAGGGCTCTCCAGGTAGAGCCTCCGTGGCCATCTCCTCCGTCACGCTTGTCGTCATCCGGCATGGATTTCCTGTCACTGCACTCGGCGCGCTGCTTTTTGTCCTTCTTGTCTTTCTTTTTGGCCTTGCGCTTCTTCCCGGTGCTGAGCTCCTCGTCTGGCTCCACTGGAGCTTCCGCGGACTCCTCCTGACCTGGCGGAGCTCCCTCCCGAAGTGTATCTCGCAGTGGGGCTGGAGAGGACGACGGCAAGAAACGGCCACCGCTGTCACGGGCAGGAAGGCCCCTTGGCGCGCCCCATGTTTCGCAAGGAAGCCGAGCAGTGTCCGCGGCCAGGAGCTGCTTGCAAGCGCTGCAGACCTTGCAGCGCACGCGCCTCGGCTTGCGTTCTCCGGCCGGCAAGCCACCAGGAGTCCCAGGGTTCGGTCTCGGTGTCCCTCGCGCAACGGCTTGTCGGAGGCTTTCCTGCACCAGCCCTGTGAGCTGCTGAACCGCCGTCCTCCATTGCGCCTGGTCCGCTGAAGACGATGCCCGTGCAGCCGAGGCGTCCGAGCGGCGGTGGCGGTCGTAGAGCTCGAGGAATTCCTGGAACGCATCATGCTGCCTCTGCTGCTGCTGGCTCACGACAAGAAGGTTCTGCAAGACCTGGATCAAAAGAGGCGACCCTTTCTCCAAACCCCGCGCTTCCATGTCCCTCGCAGCCAGCCGCTCCTCCACGCGCTTGTCGATCTCTGCCTCCCGTGCCAACTGCTGCTGGAGGCGGTAGCGCGAACGGACATGGCCTCCAGAGCCTCGCGACCACGTCGACGCACCTCATCATCTCGCTCGGCTGCAACTGTACGCGACGAACCGCCATCAGAATCCGAAGACGCGACCACTGCGCCACCTTCACGGCCGCCAGTGTGGCCGTCGTCACCATGGCCGCCAGTGTGGCCGTCGTCATGGCCGCCAGTGTGGCCGTCGTCACCATGGCCAGTGTGGCCGTCGCCGCCATGGCCAGTG